GTCTCCCGACTGGACCCCTGTCCACAACATCCCTCTTTCCCAGCATTATCCGTCATTCAGTCTTCATTTAATACATATTCACTGAGCGCCAGGCACTGAGCTTAGTGCTCCAATTTTAAATCTTTCTTTAACTGCAAGAGAATGCGTGAGATTGGAGTGGATGGTTGGCTTCGCAGATTTAAAACAAAAAAGGCTGCCCCCCACCCCCGCCCATGCAGACCTGCCCATTGCAAACAGGGTGGGTAAACCCAGCTCCAAGTGTTCACACACAGCATGCACGCATGCACACGCATGCACAGATACACGCATGCACACAATCTACAGATGCACATACGTGTGCTCCCGCGCATAGCACATAAAACACCCTGGGAACAATGGACACTGCCAAGTGTTGTGAGTGTGTGGTAGGAGCTGGGGCTTTGGGGACAAACCAGTGGGGCTACGATCCTGGCTTCCCTGCCCTCTAGTGGTGCCCCCTACAATGCGTGGCCTGGGCCTCAAATTCCTCATCTGTAAACTGGGGCTAAAACAACACTCCCTTCATAGGGTTGCTGTGAGCCCTGAATTCGACAGCATATGTTAAAGCACCAAGTCTGTGTCTGCACGCAATAGGCACTCAATAAGTGTTTGCCCATTTGTCTCAAGAACATGAAGCCAGACAAGAAGGAGCACAGCGTGGTCAGGGCTGCAGGAGGGTGGCCCCGGGGCCTGGGGGGCATAGAAGAGGGAGCAACGGACCGCGTGGAGGTCAGGGAGCCTTCCCAGAGGTCAGCCTGGATTGAAGGATGGTGAGGAAGGAAGGCGTGTTGAGACGAGGGCTCGGCGTCCCAGAGGCTGGGGGACATGACATGAGAGGGCACCCAGCCCGCAGGAGCAGCACATGGAGCTGGTGTCAGCAGATCTCGGTGGAGTGACTGGCTCTGTCTCTTCCAGGTGCCCAGATAGATGACAACAACCCCCGGCGCACCGGCCACCGCATCGTGGCGCCCCCTGGTGGCCGCTCCAACATCACCAGCCTCGGGTGAAGGCAACTCCTGGATGAGCGAGCGTGAAGGATTCTGGGAAGGATGTCCATCCCTTGCCCTGTCAGTGTTTGGAAACCCACAGTATCGTTTGGTACTGATGGGGGGAAAATGGAATGATGTTCTTTCCTTTTTGGTTTAGGAAGAAGTGGTACTAGTGTGGTGTGTTTGCTTGGAAATCCCTTGCCCGCAGTCATGTGTTCATCTGAGTCCACCTCAGAGCATGGTGTCTCCAGGCCCCTTCTTAGTGAACACAGGTTCCAGCCTCGTCTTGTACTGTCCCTCCCACTTCTGACGCCACGGGCTCCACGATTCTCTGAGTGGTTCCCTTGCACCCCTGTAGCTGTTCTAGGATAGTTGATGCATGTTACTAAGTTACGTCTGCGAGTCTGTGAGTGCGTCCGACAGAAGACAGCCGAGGCCCTACATAGACACGAAGCCCAGACCTCAAGCCCTCGGGGGCAGCTCCAAAACTCATAGCAGGAAGATGTGTCCTCATCGTCCCCTCCCCCAGGTCTACACGAGAAGGAAGCCCGCATCCCTCTCGTCCTGTGTCAGGAACCCTGGTCTCCGTGGCACCTGTAACTCGCCATGACGTCTTTCCGGTCTGTGTGTGTCCTTCCATCCCGCTCTAGACTGCAGGCCTAGCCAGGTTCACACTCAGAAAGGGGTCTCCCACCCTCATTCAGGGCTGACCATGGTGTGGCCACAGCTGCTCCCGGCGCCCGTGTCCTGGTCCCTCCCAGGCGGATGACGAGGCCGTCAGATTTTTAAAGTTTTGTACATAGTTTTCCTTTGTAATCACCCTCATTTTTACTTAACAGCTGACTTATTGTGACTCTTATTTCTGAATTCAAAGCTTGTGAAAAAATAAAGAAAATAAATGGCACACTCCCTGACTGGGGTGTTTGCATTTAAGTGATGGCTGCTCAGATGCTCATGCTTTGTGCTCCCCTTTGTAGTAACGGGACAGCGGTGCTTACTTCCGCAGGACTCGCTCTTGTTAGATAGCCGGGGGAGCGGAGGAGGGAGGAGAGGGAGCCAGTCATGATTTGGGGAGTGTTAGGTCATGAGAACAAGGATGAGAAGAGGAGGACGATGGCTGGCCAAGGGCTTCTGTGAAATAGGTTGAAATCACATCATGTCCCTTCCCTCCTGCCCAGCCTTTGCTTGGTGTGCTGTCTCTTCCTGTGTGTTAGGTGGGTCAGACTGCCTCAGATTGGAAGTGTCCAGCTCCTGAGCTTCACATTTCTGACCTCCAGTCCCACGGGAGGTATACATTCTAAGGAGGAGTAAAACCTCAAAGTTGTTTGTCTTGATTACCAGTTAGTAGTGGTGGTGACGGTGATGATGGTGATGGTGGTGGTGGTCGTGGTGGTAATGATGGCGGCATTATCTGTACAGCACATGCTACATGTCAGGTGCTCTGTAAGGTAGGCACTATTATTAACATCATTTACAGATGAGTCCTAGAGAGGTCAATAATTCATCTAAGATCACACAGGGAGTGGCACAGCCAATATTTAAATCCGGGACCCACATGTCCAAAGCTCCTTGCTTCTAACTGCTAAGCTTTGTCATTTGAGGCAGGATGGCTTTGGATGGTCATACGTCTACTTTATGCTTTTAGTGTCTTCTCCCCCCCACCCTCACTGGGTTAGGATACTTTAAGGTCCAGAGAGGTGGTGGCTTAGGGTCAGTTATGGATTTTCTTGAAACAAAGCTAAATACTAAGAAAGATCAAGAATGGAGGGTAATGACTTGATATTTGGCCTTGGCCCATGGGGACTACTAGAGGACATCGCAGAAACTTCCAGAAGAGTAAAGTTGGCAACAATAAGTTACCCACCCTGCTCTCTGGAAAGCACTTCCTCTCTCCCGCATCACCACCCCCCCCCCCCAGCCTATCAGGGAGCAGAAGCTGAAGTGGAAGCAGCCTTAACATCCTCCCTCTAGGACCGACTCTGATGGGGCCTTTGCCCGGCTGCCAAGTCACCGGACCACTGCCCAGTCAGCACCACCTGCTGAGGTTGCCAGCACCCCTGTCCTACATTAGCTTCCCAAGAGGCACAGGCACAGGGGTCCTGGCAGCTGCAAGACAGACAAGCCTTAATTCTAGGAGACAGAGCTGCAGCATTCCTTTTTTTTTTTTTTGCGGTACGCGGGCCTCCCACTGTTGTGGCCTCTCCCGTTGCGGAGCACAGGCTCCGGACGCGCAGGCTCAGCGGCCATGGCTCACGGGCCCAGCCACTCCGCGGCATGTGGGATCTTCCCGGACCGGGGCACGAACCCATGTCCCCAGCATCGGCAGGCGGACTCTCAACCACTGCGCCACCAGGGAAGCCCTGCAGCATTCCTTTTAAGTAACGTTCTTTTCATTCATCTCTTGAAATGGTAGGAGGAGGTGGGGAACTCTAGGGGAAGGCTATCTATTCTCTTATTCATTCATCTGCACCCTTACTTCCCCTTTGCAGAGAGCATAGCATGGTCACAGTTTCCAGGAATTAGGATGTGGAAGTCTTGGGGAGGGGGCACTGTTCTGCTACCACAATAGTCTTCTGAGTTTCCTTCTAGAAGTTTTATCTTTCACATTTAGATCTATGACCCATCTCTCATTAATCTTTGTACACAGTGTAAAACAGGGCTCAAGGCTTGCTTTTTTTTCCATATAGAATCCAATCGACCCAGTGCCATTTATTGAAAAGACCATCCTTTCTCTCATTAAGCTGCAGCAGAGCCTTGGTTGTAGACCAGGGTGACCATAGTGCATGGTCTTCTAACCCAGTGGTCCTGAGGTACACTGCTAAATAAACATTGGACACTGAGCTTGGCTGGGCTGGGGTGGGAGCCCCAGTTTGTAGTGTCTGCTAACTTCTATGGTGCCAATACTCTCACTGTAGCCAATTTCAAGGTACCAACATGAAGCCAGTGAGCTTTCAATCCATGCAATGTAAGTCGGGTCTGGTGTCCCAGTAAATGCCAGTACATTTGGTGTCATTGGCTTCAAGTTTTCCTTCAGTGATGTCAATTCATGGAGCAAGAGAGCAAGAAGATTCCTGAACAAAAAGGGCTTCTACCAAAATGAAATTTCCCTCCTCCCTCCTTCCCTACATTTTTCCTTCCACCAGTGTACGAGGAGTGCCCATTTAGTACTAGGCATCGTCCTAGTAGGGGAAAGCAATGGGTATATATTCCAGGGGGAAGATCAGATATTAACCAAATTATTACCCAAAGCATCTAATTACACACCATGCTAAAGGCTATAAAGGAAGCATTTTGCAGGGAGTAGAGAATGCTCATCTCCCACTCTTCAGGCTGGAGACTCTGCTGACCTTAATATACCACATTGGCTTTATCCTAGCAGCTCGGACCAGATCAGAGAGGCTAACTTTGCATAAAAATTAATCCATTAAACTCTTCAATATATCATCATTCATGAACCCCTTCAATTTTTACCTCCTTCCATCACAGCCCATAATAAGAACTGGGGACACAACCCAGATGGAGGGAGGGCGGCTGAGATGTGTCCTCGGGGTCTTCTTGCTGTTCCTTCTCTCTCCCCGGCCCTCGGTGTGCTGTGTTCATGCAGCTCAGTATCAGGCCTGAAAGTCCTCCTCCACACCCCGGTGTCCCAGAGCCTGCGCCCAACACAGCGGAAGGTCCTTCCAGATGTGAGAGTCGTGTGTTTTTTTTTTTAACACATTTATTGGAGTATAATTGCTTTACAATGGTGTGTTAGTTTCTGCTTTATAACAAAATGAATCAGCTATACATATACATATGTTCCCATATCTCTTCCCTCTTGCGTCTCCCACCCTCCCTATCCCGCCCCTCCAGGCAGTCACAAAGCACCGAGCTGATCTCCCTCTGCTATGCGGCTGCTTCCCACTAGCTATCTACCTTACGTTTGGTAGTGTATATATGTCCATGCCTCTCTCTCGCTTTGTCACAGCTTACCCTTCCCCCTCCCCATATCCTCAAGTCCATTGTCTAGTAGGTCTGTGTCTTTATTCCTGTCTTACCCCTAGGTTCTTCATGACATTTTTTTTTCTTAAATTCCATATATATGTGTTAGCATACGGTATTTGTCTCTCTCTTTCTGAGAGCGTCGCATTTTGTTTTGAACAAGGGTGCAATTCCATTATGAAAGGCACCTCTAGAGTCGATTTTTGATGTGATGGAAACAGACGCAGTCCACACGCCTTTATGGAGAGTTATGCGCCCCACACTGTGCCAAGCAGTCCAGCAGCATGTGGCAGGTGACAGGTGACATGTCCCCTGGACTAAGGAAGCTACACTTAAGCAAAAGCATCACCTATGCAAGATCCATGGAGGCTGAACCTATACTGCTCGGATCTTCCAGAGATCCTGGTGCTGCCAGGGCATCTCCATTTACCAAACTCACGTCACCAAATCAGACGTTACCAGCATAGGAGGCATCTGCCTTCAGAATGCCTCTGTGCACAGGACCCATGTGACAAAAGCAATTGCTTTATAAAACAGGTTCTCAAAATATTGCAGGAAGGAAGTCAAAACTTGTTACAAGACTCTGCAGAATAAGGAAGTATTTTATTTAGCCACTAGAGGAGGCTGTTGGCTAACTTTGGAAATTCTCCTGGTGACCAGTCAGGATTTGAGGATCTCCGATGGTTAGTATCCTTAACAAACGATGTAACTAGTATGGATTACTTGTTTTGTTAAGGAACCTCGCTTTCCTGAATAAGAGAGACTAATCTAGGTTGTAAGAAATAAAAATTCAGACCACAAATGGTCCAGAAAATCCCTGAGACAGAAGCTTCTATAACTTGGAGCCCACTCTGTACTGGGAATTTGTGGAAACCCTGTACTCTCCATCCCAGACTTGCCCGGGGTCAGCATGCTCTGACTTACATCAGTGGGTGATGCCCCCAAGGGAACATCTGGCAATGTTTGGAGACATTTTTGGTTGACACAACTGGGGAGTGCTTCCAGCATCTGGTGGGAAGAGGCCAGGGATGCTGCTAACCATCCTGTAATGCACAGGTCAGCCCCACCCCTTAAAAAAGAAATTTTCTCACTCCACATATCCACAGTGCCAAGACTGAGAATCCCTGATTTCGATGAAAAGGGCAATTTTCTTTCCGAGTGGGAAAGGCACTGGCTGGTCTGAGAGCTGGATATTCTCAGCATCCACTGGGAGAAGCATTTCTCCTTAGGGGAGGGCTGCTGTCTGGCAGAACTCATCCCTCCCAGGGGAGGTCCTCCTGGGCAGGGCCTCCTTCCTAGCGCTTTAACTGTCTCCTCCAACAGAAGACCCTAACGCAGGTGTCATGTATCTGTGGGTCCTTAGGTCCCCAGGGTGGGTGAGGATAGGCCTGCCGGCCAGGGATTCCATGGTCTATGTCATGGGGCCCTGAGACTCCTCAGATGCCCTCACTGAGACCAGGCCGTCGCTGCTGGCTGAACCAAAGAAGGGAATGGGTCCTGATGAGAATCCATGTTGGCCAGTGCCCACGGTGCAGGGGACAGAGAGAGCGGGGGTGATGGGAATGGAGGAGAAAAGGCCTCAGACCCAGGAAACGCCAGCAACACCTGGTGATCCCTTTATTATAGGCGGAACTCCACCGGGAGGCTGGCGAGCAGAGGGCCCCCAGGGCAGGAATGAGACCACTTAGCGCTCGCGGAACGCAGGTTCGGGGTGACATCGGGACACGGGGGGTGGGAAGCACAGGGAGCCAGGAAGGAGGGGCTTCCCAAGGAACAGAGCCACATCTCGAAGCCAAGGCGACACTGAAGAACTGGAGCAGACATGTTTCCAACACAGGGGTGGGGAGGGGTATCGTCTTCACAGGCGGTAGGGTCCGCCCTGCTCTTTTAGGCCTTTTTCTGGGACTTTGATACCCATTCTCCATCCCTGCACAGCAAGCCTGTGGGCAGAGGGGAGACCCCACTGTCCCCCACCCCGGGGTGGCCAGTCCCTCCTCACTGCCTGGGGGAGAGGCAGGTGGCATACAGACGGGGTCTTTAGGTTCCGTCCCCCCGACCAGGCTTAAGCTACAGATTGCTTCTTCTCTTTAGCATCTTCTTGGAATTCTCACCGTCACCAACCTCACTTTCTTGCTGGCTCAGCCTTTTGCTGCTTAAAATATGGAAGAAAGGCAGTTGGTCAGAACTTTGATTCCAGGTCTGTCTAGATGCAATAACAATGCATCCAATCTGATCCCATGAAAAGGCGGTGACAGGCCATCAAAACAATCTGCATTTTGACATGGGCTGTTAAGAAACAAAAGAAACTCCCAGTTTCCCTCTCTTTGGTGGGAGGTCCGACCCACGCTCAGACGGCTGAGGCACCCCAGGATGGACCCACCCTACCACAAATCCGGAAGCATCTGTAGCTGGCAGCGCCCTGTTGAGGCCTGGGATTGCCAGCTATTCAGGCTGGATGCTGACGGGCTGGGGGGTGGGTCGTGGCTGACCCGGCCAAATGGGACACTAATAAAAGCAGTAACAATAATACCAACACTTCCCATTATCACCCATCATTTCTCGGACCCGAGTCAACGTCTCTGAGAGGCGCTGGATTTCCTGCCCAGATTTAGGTGATCAACAAGGGCCCCAGTGTACCTGTGCGATCCTGAGGGGGGGCCCCCTGAGGCAGGGTCGTCGTCCTTGGGCCCCCCAAAGTCCCCTCTGTCCCGGGGTGCCGGCTTCTTCCTTTTGGTCCTTAGGGGTTTCTCTGCAGGAGACACGTGAACCCAGAAACTGGCTCTGTGACTCTGGGTAGGTGACAGAATCTGTTGGCCTCACGCCACCCCAGCATTGTTTGAGTACCTCTGGGGGCCGAGTATGCACTCAGTATCTACTGCTCTTAGACCCGTTTAACTTGTGAGGAGACTGAGACCTCGCGGGGGGTGAGAGCTATCCCAAGCCCACAAGGCTGAAAGGTGGCAGAGCTAGGATTCAAACTCAGTCGGCCAGGCTCCTCTTGTGTTTCTGCCACACCCAGCGGACTGGCAGCCTTCCCTTCCGAAGCAGTTAAGAACCTAGAACACAGTTCCAGTACCATAGCTTTTATTTTAATAGCCCTCCGTGACGTTACACACTTTCCCCTTGCTATCCCGTTAGAGGCTACAACACTCTATGATGTCCCTGGAGTTCTGCTGGCCGAAGGAGGAGGGCTAATTAACCCCACTTTACAGATGCGGAAACAGAGTCAGAGATGAGAGTCAGCTACTGAGCAGCAGACCCAGGAATCGGAATTATTGTATTTTGAAGGGCCAGGGACACAGGGGCATCCTAGCCTAGCTGCTCATCTACAGACAGGACACAGAAGCCCAGAGAGGGTAAGTGCGGTGCCTGGGGCCACACGCCAGTTAGCGATAGACCCGGTGCTAGAACCTATACTCCCAGCCCAGAGAGCCTGCAGGGCATCGCCTTCTATGACTCACCTGACAGCCCATGCTTATTGGAAAACGGTTTGCTTTCGGCAAGGGGCACCCGGGCCAACGCCGCCAACTCTGAGATGAAGCTCTGCTCAGCTTCCTGGATGCAGAGAGAGAGGGTCAGCTGGGCCCGCCTCTGCCCTGCTCCGCCTCTACATCGCCTTCCATCAGCACGAGGGGGCGCTCTGAGAGTGCGGACAGGACCGCGTCCCCACGTGGAGGAGGACTCTCCAAGAGGCGTCCAGAAACGCCCGGAGCAGGCAGACGCACGTGTGATGCGGGGGGAGCTAACCATCCATCCTCACACCAGCCATGGATCCCACTTTACAGATGAGAAAACTGAGGCGCGAGGGGCTCGGTGAGGGCAGCAGAACCAGGATCAAGCGCTCCCCTGCCTGACTCGAGTCTGAGTCCTTAACTGCCAACACCATTGACTAACAGCCAGACCCGGATTCCGTGGCTTATTAACTGTGGGGCACTGGGAGGTGACTTACCTCTCGGGGCCTCGGTTTCCTCATCTGTAAATGGGAGACTGGGTGTAACCCGCACCTTGGCTGTCGGAGTAGGACTTTAGGTGGTGGATGTAAAGCTCTCTGCTCAGTGACTGTCTACAAGAGACCCTCAGGGAACAGACGTTAACCACCATTAACATCTTTCTCATCATCGTCTCAGATGTCACTGCCACACTGGCGGCGAACACTCAGATGGCGCCAACACTCCGCCCAGCACTGCCATTCTGGAATATTTGATTTTTTTACAGGCAGCCACTTTGCTTTAAAGCCGCACCTTATAATCTCACGCTGATGAGATTTTTCTGGGATGAGATATCCACAGGATATCACGAAAGCTGAGCTTCCTGTATGTTCTAGGTGAAGTGCAAACCTTAGTCACAGCAGCACTGCCTGAATGGTACCGATGTTTGCCGTGACACCAAGAGGCCCACATGGTGGCGATTCACACACAGGGGGACACTCATTCCTTTCAGCTCAACAGACAGAAATGACGAGTGGTCGGGGCCTGGCCCGGAGCTGGGTGCTGCAGTCCCGGGGGAATCAACGTTCACAGTTGAGCAGCGAGGCTGATGTGTCCTCGGCCTGTGAGACTAGCGGGGGCTGAGGGGGTCCCGAGCAGGGCGTGTGGTCCTCACAAAGGCTCCAGTGCTGACCTGTGATCATGAGCTTAGCCTTTTACTATTTCCACTCCCCTGTAAACCACTGCCCACTTTGCAAAGGCCCGTTTTCAGAAGCTGTACCTGTAGCTGGGTCTCAAGCTGGGCTTCCAGATGGTCCATGACCCTCGCGCTCTGCTTCCACGCGTCCCGGCGGGTCTGCTGGTGTGCCGTGAACTGGGCCAGGAACTTTTTCTGCTGTGCCAACATCCTGGGGGAAGGAACGAAGGCCGTCAGCGCTGCCCTTCCGGCAGGTTCGTCAGACCCAGCACGAACCTTTCCCCAAGGCCTGTTGAGTCGTGGGAACTAGTGCCCGATAGCCATCCTTGAGCCCTTGGAGCCAGAAGAATGGCCATCGCGGGCACGATTTACTGCGGCCACATGCCCCGTGGACACAGCTCGAGTCCCTCCACCAGCGGCTGACCCATCCGAAAAGCAGATGCCACCTGATTAACACTTGAGAGTTTACAGTCTCACACGTACATCTTTCACTTGATCTTCAGGGTGGCTTGGTGACATCAGCAGGACAGAGAGGAGAAAAGCTCGGGAGAAGCTCAGAGGGCCGGGGGCAACCCTGAGGTCCCACAGCTGCAAAGCGGCTGGGCTGCAAGTGGCATCTTCATATGAGAAAATCATTTTAACCCCAGGGTGTGGCAGGGAGCAGGGAGATGGTCACCTGATAGCACCTGTCTTTATTTAAAATCTCAGAATTGCCCTAGCTCCTCCCTTGTAAAACAGAAGGCTCGTTTCCTAGGATGCAGAGTCTGAGAAACCCTGCATACAGCAGCCTCATTACTGCTAGTGGCAGAGGACAGAGCTGGGGCTGAAGCAGGGTCCCTGACCTGGAGAGAGGCCCCACCTCCCTTTCAGCAGCAGAGACACCTCCCCTCCTGCTTTGAATACCCTCCCCTCCTTGGCTGACCTTCCTCTAGTCCTCAGCAAACAGGAACATTCAATACCACCCACTCTGTTTCTGTAATCGTTCTCTGCCTTCTTCCTTTCAATCTTGTGGTTGATTTTCTGAAAGGGGCTGACTTTCTAGACCTGAAGGCAGAAGTCACTTTTAGCATCAATAGGCAGGTGTCCATGGAGTATATCTGAAGGCACAAAATTCCACCTGCTTTTGCTTCTATTCTTCCTTCTACCAGTAATGCCTTTCCCCTCTTCGTTGTCTTTGTCTGGCAAACTCCTATTCATCCTACAAGACCCCATCATCCGTCATCCATCCATCTATTCACTCATTCCTTTATTCATAAAAGTATTTCTGGGCTTCCAGGTGCTATGCTGGGTTTTGAAGACACAGTTGTGAATAAGAGACTCATAGCCTCTGCCCTCATGGGGCCCCACTTTGAGCTGGGGAGGGAGATAGATATCGAACAAATAACTGTGATAAGGCTGAGGTCAGTGCTCTGCAGTGTGGTTCTCTCTCACACCCTCAAGGAGGATGCATTACTTTCCTGGGACTGCTCTAACAAATGACCACAAACTAGGGGGCTTAAAAAAACAGAAATCTGTCCTCTCACAGAAGATCCCAGAAATCTTCAGTCAAGGAGTTGACAGGGCCGTCCTTCCTCTGGAGGTTCTAGAGGTGAACATGTTCCTTGCCTCTTCTGGTGGCCGCTGGCACCCCTTGGCTTGTGGCTGTGTCACTCCAATCTCTGCCTCTGTCGTCACATCATCTTCTCTGTGTGTGGTCAAATGTCCCTCTGCTTCCCTTGCCATTGGATTTAGGACCCGCTGGGATAACCCAGGGTGATGTCCTCATCTCAAGATCTTTTACATAAATGACATCTGCAAAGACCTTTTTCTAAATAAGGTCACATGCATAGGTTCAGGGATTAGGGACATGGACATATCTTCTGCGGGCCCCGTTCAGCTCACTACAGAAGCTGGGTGGCTTCTTTCCGTGAGCAGCCTCCTCCCCAGACCCGCTCTGTCACCAGTCCTGGCCACTCTCGACTATCATCCTGCTGGCTTGTCTGCTCTCCCATGAACCTGGCTCTTGGGAATGCAGGGAAGTGACAGGCCGGCCCAGGAAGGGCCTGTGTGCCCGGGTTAGGGGCAGGGCTTCACGCTCGAGGCCTGGGGACCCACGCGAGGGTCCAGGAGTATCTGAGACATGGGCTGCCTCGTGTTTTCTGCGATGCCCTGGTTGCAGCACGGGAAGCAGGGAGGACGAGCAGGATTCTGGTCAGAGGCCACAGCTCTAAGCCAGGAGGGGAGCAACAAGGGCCCCGGACAAGAAAGCCCACAGAGGACAGAGGCTGTGCTGGGACAGCCAGGTGGTGCCCAAGCTTGGGAGCAGGACTGCTGACCCCTGGCACGTCCTGGAGGGAGGAAACGGCCTGACTGCAGGCCTGGCTGTGGGATCTGAGTCACCCAGTTAGACGCGTAAGTTCATAGACTTCTTGTGTTTGGACTCAGATTTGACTATGGAAATGAACATTAAAAAAAAAAAATCCATTCTGAAAGAGTTCTGATTCCAGAACTATTTGAAGTTCACATTGCACTGTGCAGTGCCCGATGGCTCGGCAATGACAGTGCTGACAGCAATGATGGACATCAGCGCCCTGGCCACGTGCTGGCCTGTGTGTGAGCGTTTGCGTGGCTCATCTGCACAGTTATACATCCATGACATAGGTGTTACTGCAACCCCATTTTACAGATGGGGAACCCGGGGCTCGGGGCGTGAAGGGACCCAGCCGCTATGTGGCTGACGGGAGGGGTCGCCACCACGTCACCTGGTATCCCTAGGCAAGCTCACTCACAATCCCACCCCTTGCCAGAGATGCAGTTTGAAATTTACCATCTGAGAATTGTGCTTATTGACATCTCGTTTTTTACAGTCAATACCTGTCATCACCACACTGCTCTGTCCCTAGGAGCTCTGGCTGACTTTCACTAGAAACTGCACTTATGAACTCAATGAGATGGGCATGGAGGGAAGGGCATCAACGGCCATGTATGAGCCTGTAAATCAGTGAGACTGGGTCATGCACCCACACTCGCACTGGGCTTTGCTTTTATTTTCCATAAACCCAGCAGGGCTGGACCAGGTGGTGGCCAAGGCCCCTCGTCTTGGGTCACTGGGGTCAAAGTGGAGCCCTTGCGCCACAACCATCAGAATCCCTGGAGGGAGGGAGTGCGTCAGCAATTAGATGCCTGGGCCTCCCTCAAAGTCCCTGAGTCTGGATCTCCAGGTGTGGGGCGGCCCTGCATGTTCAGCAGAAAGCCAAGTGAGACGGATGTCCCCCAGATCTGAGAACCGCTGGACTGTAGTTTGATGGATATGCGACAGTCAGAGCAAGCCCCAGCCTAGACCCAATGGCAGGGCATTTACTGACCGCTGTTAATGGCCAGAGGATTTACGGAGGGGATGCTGGACTCACTGTGACCCAGGGGACGCTGTGGTTCCTGTTTCCTAAATGAGCATGAGTTGAGGGCTGGGATTTACTCATGGCATGGCATGGACCTGCTCGCCTTTACCCTGCAGAGCGGTGGTCCTGCTGCTACTTCCAGCCGGCGGGATGCCTCTCCTCAGACAAGGGACCCCTGCCCCTGCTGTGGATCTGCAGTGCCCCCTCCCCTCATCATAGTGCCTGCACCAACTTACTGCCATCTCTTTACTTGTCCGTCTCTCCCTGCAGGCTGTGAGCACTTGGGTGGGAGGCGCTGTCCCCCGTGCCTAGCTCAGGACCTAAGTATGTGCTTACATGGACTTGTCGGTGCGGAGCCCACATCTCCTCAGCCCACCTGGTGGCCGGCTGCCCTTCAGTGGACAGTTCCCGCACGCACCAACGGCATCTTACAAGCACCTGCGACCAGGTACCAGGGCTTCCTCCGGCCATGAAGGGGGCGGGGGGCTTGGCCAGCTCAGGGATGCCTGGGAAGGCTGGAGAGTTAACACCTCCAGGACAGACCCTCAACCAATGTGGAAGGGGGTTGGTAGACAAATCCCCTATTTTCCTTGCCCCTTGCTGACGTAATTGGAAGTTGAGTTCTGCACAATCTCTCAGGAGGTCCAGACCAGGGCTGGGCCTCAGTTGCCACGGAAACCCCTCATCATCACAGGCCTTACTGGCTTTTCTCCCATGTGGTAGGCTGCTCAGCGGCCCCCAAAGGTGTCCACGCCCTCGTCCCTGGAATGTGTGAAGATGTTATGTTACACGGCAATCGGGACTTCATAGGCGTGATTAAGGTTACTGATTTAAATTTGGAGATTATCTTGGTGGGTCTCAATCACCAGAGCCCATAAAAGCAGAGAAGCTTCCCCAGCTGGGGTCAGAGAGATGCAGCAGAAGAGATTCCAAGTGTAGGCAGGACTTAATGCTCCGAGATGCAGGGGCCACGTGCAAAGACCAGAGAGTGGCCGATGGGATGTCGGGAGGGCCAGCCGGTAGCCACAAGGAAATGGGACCTCCATTCTACAAGGAACTGGATTCTGCCGACACCTGAAGAAGCGTGGAAGATTCCAGAGCCTCCGATGAGAGCCTGGCCAGCAACACCTTGATTTCGGCCTGTGAGGCCCAGAGAAACCGGCGGCGCCCGCCCGACTTCTGACCTCTGGATCCCTGAGATAACACAGCGTGTGATTGGCGGTGGGTCCTTGTTATGGCAAACAGCCTTCGTCCTCATTCCCCTGCTCCCTCCCTGTGCTTCCTGGGCTCACCCGGCCCCCAGGTCCTTGGCTCAGGGTCTGCTTCTGGGGGAACCCTCAGCATGGATCAGAGAGGAGGTGCCAGTTCAGTGCTGTGAAGACCACTCAGACCTGAAAAGGAAGCTCCCGCCACACGCTAACTTGTGCCCTTGTGCCAGGTCCCTTGCAGGGGCCGTGCGTAGAAGGGAGAGCCAGACAGGGGCTCATGGGCTTCCACGCAGCAGGGGAGGCAGAGGAGACCCGGGTCCACAGGCAAACGTGCGGGAGGTCAGCTGCCGAGAGTGTCAGCGTCACTTGCACTGAGTGTAAGGTCAGTGCCGAGAGACACGTGCGACACACAGAGGCCGGGATGGCCCGCGTGGGGACCCGCAGACAGCAGTGAGGCCTCACCTCTGGTGCACAGCTCCGGAGGCTTCCTGAGCTCCACCCGCTACTTCGGCTCCTGACGAAGGATCACCGAGTTCCTGCTTTTTCCGCAGCTTGAAATGTTCCGTTCTCTCACCTAGAGCATTTAACATACACACAACGGTCAGGGTGCATGTCTGAAGGACTGACACTGCCAGGTCTGGCCCGGGCGCTGAGGTGCAGGGATCAGCAGGTCACACGTGCTCTCAGGTGTGCCTCTACCAGCGCCACAGTTCACCCTGGGAAGGACTTCGTATGCGTGAGGATGCTGCAGCTTCCATCACACCCTGCGAACCCGGAAGGGCAGCACCCCGGCTCTCCCTGCAACTGCTCAGGCCCGGCTTTCCCGTAAGTATCAGGAGAAAGGGGAGCCGAATAGGAAAGAGTTAACACTAAAGGGCCACCACAAATGGATAAAAATCCACACCAGGAAGGAAAAACCATTCAAACCCCATTCAGAGCTGTAGGGGTGCAGTTAGCCTTACAGACGTGGGTGCTGAGCTGGGTGCTTTCCAAGGAGCTGGCAGGTTTAGCCTCTGAGTCTGAGGTGCCTTGGTCTGCATGTCAGAACCTGCTTCTTCTTTTTTTTTTAATTTAAAACAACAGATGATGAAGCCTAAAATTATTTTCTACTGGATTCTTACTACCACCCGAATTAACTGCCTATTTATTGGACCATAGTTATAATGAGAGGACGTACGAAGGGGGAGCCCAACCGTAGCCCTGCAGATGCAGAAACCGAGGCCTAGAGAGGGGATGTGAGCACCCTGGTCCCTGAACGTTCTGCAGAGGCGATCAGTCTCTTCTGTCTCCTGCTGAAGGGGACCAACCCTTACTTTGGAAAAACATCAGGAAGGATCTGTAGCCAGCTGGTAGATTTCTGGGCGTGTCCCAGATTTTATCTGAATGTAGGGCTCAAATCCCCCAGGGCGAGGGGAAGAGAAACGTGGCAGCTGAGCTTATTGAGAAACATAATATTCACAGGAGACCTGCCCCCAGGACCCGCTGCCGGTGCTTCCTCTAGGGATCTTGGACCGTCCAGGAAGCATCCATCAGAGAACATGGGATTCTACTTTGTTCTGAAGCCCTGGATGCAGGGAGGGATGTTACAAGAACAGGCTTTAAGGAACTGGATTTTGCCTGTTACTACACCACCGTTCTTGCTGGCCTTGGGGATCTTGTCCATTCCAAACCCTGGGTGGCCTCTTACAAGAGCCCACAGGGGAAAACTGTCTGGGCCTCAGGCACATTTATGAGCCACTAGCCTTTTTTTTTTTTTTTTTGCGTTACACGGGCCTCTCACTGTTGCGGCCTCTCCCGTTGCGGAGCACAGGCTCCGGATGCGCAGGCTCAGCGGCCATGGCTCACGGGCCCAGCCGCTCCGCGGCATGTGGGATCCTCCCGGACCGGGGCACGAAGCCGTGTCCCCTGCATCGGCAGGTGGACTCTCAACCACTGCGCCACCAGGGAAGCCCCCACTAGCCTTTTCTTATGGACACTGTGACAGCTTTACTTGAGGAAATTTCTATCTCTTTGGCCACCAGGAAGTCCAGAGCCAAACCCATGTCATCTCTCAGTAGGGATCTGATGACATACGTCCCAGATGATGGCGTAGCCCCAACTCCACCTCACTGTCCTGTCCTTGCTCTGATTAGCCTACTTTAAAAAAAATTCCTACTGTACTGTATGGATATGTTTCTTTAAGTGCTTTTTCAAAAGCCTTTTGGGGACAGAGCAGGAGATAAATAAATACATAAAACATTTAAAAAATTAAATCTCCCAAAATAAAATTTGAAAAACCTGACATCTTGCCCTGTCCCCAACTAAGAGCATGTTTGGCTCGTTGTTGGCAGGGCTTCCCAGTGGAAGGGTGCTATACCCTGTAGGGTCTCCAGGTGATGCAGCTTTCTTTCCTCGTGGTCCTGCATGGCCCTCCTGATCTGCTGGTAATACGCGTGCACGAGCCGGCCGACACCAGCACTGGTCACGTAGACGCTTTCCACGGCCGCCTCCATCAGTGTTCTCTGTGGGCAGGAGGGACAAGTCTCGGCAGAGGGCACACGTGGAGCCAGCCATGGCCGACATGGTCCTGGCTCCCATATTCCACCCGCTGCCAACCTTGGCTGGTCAGGAGCAGGCAGACAGTGCGTGGCTGGTTTAAACCAGTTTCGATGATCTTATTTTCCTTTGTCAGGGATGGTCTGAGACTGACTGTATGACCCAGTTCTGGTCAATGAGATGAAATATTAGGGAAAGTCTGCTGAGGGCCAACCCTTTCCGAACATTAAGGCAAAGCCTTGGTGGGGGTGAAAGACTTTGCTGTTTCCCTCTTCCTGCCTAGAATGCAAACTTGATGTCTGGAGTGGCAGTGGCCATTTTGAGACTATGAGGCAACCAACCAACACCAAGAATGATGGATCAGAAAGAGAGAGTCTGGTCCTTGGTCCTATCACAGAGCCTCTGTGCCAGCCTGGAACCACCGACTTCCACATTTCTTGTTATGTGAGATCAGTAACTTCTATTAATTTTTGTCCCTTGCAGTTACATGCATTCCTCAATGATATACCTTCAGACCCAAAGCAGAACAGAAAGGAAATGCTCAGATGTCCCATCATCGGGGACATGTTGGTTGTGCACAGGCAAAATCACCGTCTGTTACTTCATAAGATAATGGGCAAAAGTCAGGTTCCAGAGCCCCCATTTCAGCATTTATTGAATGGTTCCAAGCTTTGGGCAAGAAAAAAATACCCATTTATTATTGTTGAGTGATTGGTTATGTTCCAAGGCCTAAGAAACGTTCCCTGATTTGCAGGTGTGGACGGAAGCTGTGGAGGTGAGGAGGGTTGCAGCTCAGGGGGCAGAGCAGGTGAGAGCCCACCTTCTCACTCCCGGGCCCTGCTCCTCCCTTACTGTGGCCGGTTCTCTCTCCCTCTCTGTCGGACATCTACATCTGATTCCACCCCCCCCCCGCCCCACGAGGACTCTGGGCTCTGGCCTTGCACTTCCGGTCAGGAGCTCCCACTGATGGCCAGTGGCCTTCCTTGAATTTCATTTAGCACATGGAAGGCAGAAGACAGGAAGTCCCTCTTCGCCCCTCTCTAGTCAGCAAACCCACCTGCACATCACGCCTTCTGTCCGTCTGTCTTCCTGCCACAGGGAAGTGGTGTCTACCCCCTCTGCATCCCACCCCTCCACCCCTCTCCAGGGCCTCCACCATTCTCTCCTCCTCGTTAGTTTTTCCAGCTGGTGTACCATTCGAATCAGCAAACGCATTTGCTTGCGTAGCTCCAACTTTTCAGCCCTCTCTCGATCCCCCTCAGGCACTGCCTCTCGTCTCAGTTTCTGCAAAACTTCTCAAGGGTTAGCGTGCCCTCCCCTAGTAGATCGTAAGCTCCTTGAAGGCAGGAATGCTGCCACCTGGCTACTCTCTATCCCAGCACCTGCCGCAGGGCCTGGGGCCAAGGAGCCCTGTGAAATGAACATCCTTCCAGATACTGAGCCCATGTTCTTTCTGGTGCGTGTGTGTACTGGGGGCGGGGAGGGGTGTTCATCATCTAATTCTGAATCAGAGTCCCTTGGGGAAGGTGAGGACAAAATATGCCAAACTCATATTTCATTCTGTTTTCCTGTAATGACTGTTGATTAGGTCAGAGTCATAGAATTTTAGGGGAAGGAAGAGACCCATCCAGCATCGCTAGCCCTGACGTCTGGATCATGTGCGGCAGACGTGAGAGATTTAGAACGACAAGGGGTGTCTCAGAAACGTGGGTCCAACCTCTTTACTGTGCAGATGTGTGACTTTACGTAAATGAAAGGACTCATGGAAGGTGCCCGCGAGTGTCCTGGCATATCTTGACGTGGGTCTGCTGCCAGCCGCAGATCTGCGCCACCTCCCGTGGGTGCCGGCCATGGACTCTGTCTGCCGTGGTCTGCAATACACGGGGTGCCTTGCCTTTTCTTATGGCTCGAGTGAGGAGGCAGCCAAGGGGAAGGCGAGCATACGCACCGGTCATGCAGGGCAAGGCCAGCCTCCGGTCCCAGCCACTCACTGAGGCTGGGAGGCTTTAAACATGTCTTTCGCCCAATGATAAGCCTCAGTCTTCCCACCCGAATGATGGAAAGAAAAATCATCCTTTCCATGTAAGGGCTGTGGTGAGAGCCCAGTGAGACGAGGCAGGCAAAGCCCTCCTGCAGACGTAGAAGGGCAACGCTCACGTCACTTCTTACTATGGCTATTTGCACACCTGCGGTTTGTCATCACCGTCAGTACAAGGAGTAAACCACTGCTTACTCAAGTCAGACTGATTTTAGCTGCATTGCTCAGCTGTCAGGGCCAACACCACCAACCCTCAGGTCTCCACAGAGGCAGTCAGAGGCAGGGAGTGTCCATGTCTCTCCCTGGGAGAGGGGCTTCGGTTTGAATCCTGCGTCAGCCACTGACCGGCTGGGCGGGGCGGCTCCGGGTGAAACCACATCCCTCTCGGAGCTGCTCCAAGGACCGAGCCAGGACTCAGAAAGATGTGACACGGGGCCAGGCAGCAGGCACAAGTCCTCACTGCTCCACAGGGTAGGCCTTCCCTCTTATGGGTGAGGAAAAGGAGGCTCAGGGAGCCAGGTCAGCCCTGCGAGGCCAGAAGCCCCTGGGCAGGCCCCGGCTGCTGCTCTGCCCAAATCCTGCCTCTTGTCCGCCCCTGCCCCCCACCCCAGCCCAAAGTCTCCTGTGCCTCGGGCTCCCTGGGGCTGGGGTGGCCTCGCACCTTGAAGTCATCCCTGTCCTTGGCCCGGCTTTTGGAGGCCATGTTCCGCGCGTGGCCCAGCAGCGTCTGCCCGATGGCCCGCTCTGTGTGCTGCTGTAGGAGCTGCCCGACTTCCTGGGCCTCGGCCAGGAGCTGCTGCCGAAGCTGCAGCCGTGTCTGTTGCGTCTCCTCCTCCAGCCGGCCAGCCTCCTCCAGGACGCGCGTCTCCTGAAAAGGACGGGCGGGGAGAGGTTGGAGCCCCACTGCTGCCCTGCACGGATGCTCCGGTCAGAGCCAGGACCAGGATGTACAGTCGGCCCTGCCCAGGGTCCCAGGAAGGTTAGAGAAGGGATGGAGAAGGGGTGGAAAGTGGGGACCTCTATACGCACTTGATGGGCCTGGGTATCTTGAAGATCCCCCAAGGCATTTATTGAGCACCAACCACGTGCCCAGTGCCATCTGTGGCTTCACACATATACAAGCACTTCCTCATTCATCCCAAACACCGTGAGGCCTGAACACTAGCAGCGATGAGGACACAGAGGCTCAGAGAGGCTAAGTAACTTTCTATAAGTCCCCCAGCAGAGCGGGTTCTAAAGTCACGTCTGAGTCCGCGAGTCGTCTGGGACATCGTGGAGGCCAACACAAGGCCTATGGGGATTCCCTTCCCTGAAGGAATAAGAGCTGGAGAAGGAGGTGGGGGAATCAGAGGTAGGGCAGTAAGTCCTGCCTCCTTCCCACCAAGCCCTCCTGGGCCGAGCAAAAGAGACTGTGAGCCTGTCCCTCACGAAGGGGTCAGAAAACGTCAGCTGCCCCTATAGCTCAGTGGCTACAGGAGACTTGGCGTCAGCTTGCTTGGGTTTAAATCCCAGTCCCACAATTTACAAAGTCTTTCTATTGATTTGTTAAAACCTTAAAACAGACTACAGAGCCCTTTTCTCCCAACGCCCGATGACGACTGTACCTATCCGTGCTCTGATTTCACGTGCGTTTTTAGTATAATTATAATGTACACCAGAAACTTTGGGCATACTGGGTGCACCACTACAGTGGGGGCTGCCATTGTCCTGACCCCACAACGATGCTGGGGCAGGATTGGGGTTTTGCCTAAACCGGGCTGGAACCTGGAACCTGTCTACGGGGCAGGGGGCTGACGCACAGTCTTACCAAGGCTCTGAGAAGCTGCCACTGATGCTCGTCCAGACACTGGGAGGAGTCCTGCTCCAGGGCGTGCTGTTCGCGCAACTCCTGGAGAAGGCTCTTCTTCCCTGACAGTCTCATCTGGGTCAGGGTGGTGATGGCACTGCTGCGGAGAGCCAGCCTCCGGAGAGCTGAGCGTAAGAGCAGGTCATGCCCCTGCAGGATGCACTGCGTGGACCTTTGGAGAAAGTGGGTGCCGGGCTGAGGGGTCAATATTCTTGGCTCCACTGAGTGTGACTGGTTAATGTTATGTGACAGCTTGACTGGGCCATGGGGTGCCTGGACATGTGATCAAACATCATTCTGAGAACTTCTGTGAGGGTGTTTCTGTATGAGGTTAACATTTGAATTGGTAGACTGTGTAAAGCAGACTGTCCTCCCTAATGTGGGTGGGCCTCATCCAATCAGTTGAAGGTCTGAAGAGAGGAAAAAGCTGACTTACCCATGAGTAAGAGGGAACTCCTCCTGCCTGAAGGCCTTGAGTGGGATATAGGTTTCTCGTTTTGGACTCAAACTGAAACACTGGCTTTTCCTGGGTCTTGAGACTGCTGCCTTCAGACTGGCTCTTACACCATTAGCCCTCCTGGTTCTTAGGCCTTTGGACTTGGGACTGAAACTACATATTGGTTCTCCTGAGTCTCCAGCTTGTCAGCTGCAGATCTTGGGACATCTCAGCTTCTCTCTGTATATCTATATCTGTATCTATAGGTTCTGTTTCTCTGGAGAATCCTAATACACTGACCCACCAAGAAATGCCCCCAATAGTCATGCCCCACAGGGAGCCTTTACAGAGGTAGTAGGTTGGAATTATCCCATCCCCTGCTGCGCATCCTCTTAGACGTGGTGCTGACCTGGGTTATATTCAGCCAACTGTCCTTTACTAATCTTTTTAACTTTATCACGTTCTGCCCCAAGTTTCAGGTGCATATATGCAGCTGCCTTCAGTACATATCCACTCAAATTTCTTACATAATAGCTCTCAAAATTAACATATCCAAAACTGAAATCATGAGCTATTTTTGAGTTCCTATCCCAATGAGTCAAGTAGAAAACCTCGGTCTACCCAGCAGTCTCGACATTTGGCTTTATAACTTGAGGTATTTTCTGACAGCCTGAGAAGTTGAGCAAGGCACTGTCAGTCAGTTTACCAAGGAGAAGAGACCTGGCAAACACTCCAGGCTTCCAGCCGGGGGCCCTCATCCTAAGAATAAGGAATCATCCCTTGTAAAGACCTAATTTTAAATCAGCTAAATTCACAAATGGAGTGGTTGATTTGTCACTTTCTGAAATCACTGCTAGAAGTAAGATAAATCCTCTCTGGAGGAAGATCCCATCATTCAAAGTCTCAAATTATCTCTACAGTTTTTAATAACACTGTCCAGCATTCAGTAAAAATAACCAGACTTGCAAACAGATAAGAAGTGACCAAAAATAAGGAGAAAAAATGGATAATAGAAACATACCCACAAGATATTGGACATTAGAATAATCAGCTATGATGAACATGTTTAGGAAATTAAATGATAAGGTGAACTTTAGCAGATAACTGGAAACTATGACAAAAATAAAATGGAAATTTTAGAACTGAAAACATAGTAACCAACATTAAGAATTCAGTACATGGGTTTAACAGCAGATAAGACACAGCTGAAGAGAGCATGAACTGGAAGATAGTTCAAAATAAGTATCTAGACTGAACCACAGGGAACAAAAATACAGAATAGCTTCTAAGAGGCAAAGGACATAAGGTGAGAATAATCTAATAAATGTGTAACTGCAGCCCCAGGAAAAATAGGGACAGAATAGGCAGAAGGAATATTTAAAGAGACAGAGGCTCAGAATTTTCAAAAACTGATGGAATATAGCAAATCACAGGTTCAAGAAGCACTACAGATTTATTTAAAACAAGCAAACAAGAGATTCACAAAAAAACACATCCATGTTTAGGCATATTATAATAAACTGATGAAAACCAAAAGAACAAAAGAAAATCTTAAAAGCAACCAGAAACAATTGAAATCAGAAGACAAAATATTACCTTTAAAAGTATTTAAAAAAAAACCAGACTAGGATTCTATACCCAATGAAAACATTCCTCAAAAATGAAGGTGAGATAGACATTTTCAGACAAACAAAACCTAAGAGAATTTGTCACCAGCAAATCTAAAATGATGAGAACCTTCATGCCAAAGAAAATACTCCTAGATGGAAACTTAATGATACAGGAAACAATCAAGAGCAACGGAAAGGGTAAATCTAAATGAATACTCACTGCAGAAACCAAAACTAGTATCTCATGGGGTTGAAAATATATAGACATGTAAAATATCCAGTAAGTCACGTGCCCACATCAATTCTGACTCCGAGCTTTCATCCGCGGCACTCTGCTATCACTCTGTTTCACATTTATATTCACAATGTGGTCTCAAGATCACACTGTAAGGGAGGCCGGGGTACAGTTAACCTTACAGATGAGGACACTGAGGTTAGCATGGAGTATCACACAGGACACAGGCCTCCACCCTCCGGAAAGCTGTACTCACTCCTCACTGAGGCCGCCAAGTTGGCCCAAGACTCGGTGGATGATGCCGTCCTGGTCATCCCGCAGGTGTGTCTGCAGCACAGTGGACAGTGTGTGCTCCTCCATCCACACCTAAGCCCCAGGACAGAGGGACAGGGGTCAACTCAAGTTCATTTCATCCATCATTGCTTTGTTGGATCATACCTTTAGTTTCTAATTTTTTTAAAATCCCTTTCTTAAAGGATTTTTTTAAAAATCCCCCCTCCATCCACACCTAAACCCCAGGACAGAGGGACAGGGGTCAACTCAAGTTCATTTCATCCATCATTGCTTTGTTGGATCATATTTTTTGTTTCTTATTTTTTAAAAATCCCTTTCTCCCTTGATTTAATTAAATTTTTCTCTTATATTTTCGGCAAAAGTTTAAAAATGTTTCCTATTTGCATGTACATCTTAAGGCATTTAATACGTATATTCTGTGGCATGAGGAAGGGATCAAATTTTCTCTGGATAAATTGATACTAATTGTCCTAGCACCATTTATTAGATAATATATCTTTTTATGATGGGCCTGTCATGCCACCCTGTCTGATGTAGTTTCCATATATATATGAATTTCATTCCAGGCTCCTTCTTTTATTCTGTGGATCTGTCTGTTTATTTCTATGTAAATACCTCACTGCTTTAATTCCTGTAGTTTATAGGAAGACTTCATAGCTGCTAGGGCAAGTCTTCCATATTCTTTTGTACAAAACTGTTTTAACTATGCTTGGTTGCTTTTTTTTTTTTTTGCGGTACGCGGGCCTCTCACTGTTGTGGCCTCTCCCGTTGCGGAGCACAGGCTCCAGACATGCAGGCTCAGCAACCATGGCTCACGGGCCCAGCTGCTCCGCGGCATGTGGGATCTTCCCGGACCGGGGCACGAATCCACGTCCCCTGCATCGGCAGGCGGACTCTCAACCACTGCGCCACCAAGGAAGCCCTGGTTGCTTTTCTTTACATATGAATTTTAGGATAAGTTTATCAAGTTTGGGAAAACAGCTTTTTTTAGATTTTCTTCTAATTGGATTGAATTTACGGATTAATTTGTACAGAATCACTGTTTTTCCAAAATTGAGTTGTCCTATCCAAAAACAAGGCCTTTCTCTCAATGCTTGCTTTATCCTTTCAACAACATTTTATAAACTTCTCCGTTAAGCTCTTATAAACATTGGTCAGATTTATTTTTAGGCACCTTGTAGCTTATATACTGAAGGGGATCTTTTAGGCTCCCTGTAGCTTTTATTCTGAAGGGGATCTTTTAGGCTCCCTGTAGCTTTTATTCTGAAGGGGATCTTTATGTTATCGCTGTTCTCCTCTACTGCTTTGAAAGTTACCTATTCTGTTTCTATTTCTTCAGTGGTTTAAAATTTTTAATGTACATTCCCACCTCTAGAAATCTTAAGTTAATCAACATTTCTTTTACCTTAGAATTCATGACAGTCAGCACGTCTGAAAATTTCTTATCTGTTATCACTTTGAATTTTATCTCTCCTTCATTCTCTCCTTCTAGGATTCTTAGAAGACTAAGGAAGTCCCTCCAGGACTTTCTCATTCTGTTCCCATGTCTCCTAACCTCTCATATCTTCCATCTCTTTAGCTCTCTGTGTCATATTCTGGACCACTTTCTCACCTTTATCTCCTAGTTTACACACTGTGTCTTCAACCATAATTTGATCTGCTGTTTAACTCATCCATTAAATTTCTGTTTTCATGACTGTAATTTTCATTCATAAACTACGGGTTTTTTATCTGTCATCTTTTTACATCATGTCTTGTTTTTATGCTAGTAATTCCTCCTGTTATTGTTTTAAACATACTTCCTTTAGAAGCACTCTCTAACAGTCCCTTCACCTGAATTCCTCGGCACTCGTTGTGGTCTAAACTTGGTGCTTACTGTACATGCTGGCTCTCCCTTATGGTGGATTGTTGCTTGTGTGTTTTGTAATTTTGGATGTTAGCTCATCTTCAGTGTGGCTTTATCTGTGAAAATCCTGTGAGGTCCAAGGCCACACAGCTTTTTGGTGGAGCAGAGGCTCAAATCTAAGTCTGTCTGTCCCCAAAGCTCAAATCTTTTCTAGCCGCATCTGCTCCTCCCTGACTATCTCGCATCACAGGGAGAAACATGCACCTAGAAACATGCAGCTGGACTGTGTTACACCAAGGGCTCAATCACTAAGGTGAGACTCTTACTTTCCCACACACGTAGCTCTTTTCTGGAGATGGCCATGCTGTATGCAGAACAGGGACAAAGCACAGAGTCTGGGTGTGAGTAAGCAGCCTAGACTTCAGTTCTCTGGGCCTTGAGATTCATAGCACATACTTAATCTCACAAAATCACACTGTGTGACTCAGAACTTTTCCTTTAAGTCAGTCTCTGACTCCTCTTGTGAGGGGTCTACAATAACCTGTCCAAGAGCTTGGGAAACCAGAACATTCTAGAAAATTCTACACAGTGTAGATTCTCTAAAAGGTAAATTAACATCGTCACTAAGAACATGGGGGTCTTTGGTGTGCGTTTTGAGAAGGCAGATAAAACTAGCAACGGGATCCAAAGCCGATCAAGAGGACGGAGATCATAGGATCAGATGGTGCCTGCAATGGTCACACCACCCTCTTCAACGTTATCGAATGCAGGTTCATGAATGTTTAAATTCCGACGCAAAAAGCTGCTTCCGTGGGCTAGAGTGCTGACCCTGTTCATTGCTACCAGGTTATTCTGTGGTTTCCCATATGTTTACTCTTTGTCTCACATTTTCATTTACTAAGGAGAGAAAGGGAAAAGGAACCAATAGGCAGTGCATGCCCGGTACATGCTCCTATAAAAGGGGTGGGTTTAGAGGTAGGGCCGGTGGAAAAGTCAACACCTAAGGCAGACACTGGAGTGCTGGGAGGAGGGAGGCACTGCAGTTTTAAAAGCACGGTCAGAGGAGGCCTCAAGGTGAAGGTGGCTTCAGGATAAAAACCTGAAGCAGGACGAGTGAGGCAGGAGCGCCCAGGGAGCTGGAGGGACACAAGGATGCTGGGGAGGCTGGAATGGGGTGAGAGGGAGAGACAGGGAGGGGGTCAGAGGGTAACCAGGTCCTGACAGGCAGGGCTGTGTAGGGCACGGTGAGGACTCTGGCTTTTCCGCTGCATGAAATGAGAAGGGGGTTTAGAGCTGAGAAATGACACGATGGGACACAGTGTCTTTTATCAAATCTAATGTGCTGGTAATTACGAGACGCAGTTATTTGAGGTGCCGCACAGAGAGGAAACCACTGGTAATTACACTAAGATGCACCTCAATTTCAGAGATGTTAAAATGGTATTAAAATCTGCATCTTAAAAATGAGCGGTGGCTTCCCTGGTGGCACAGTGGTTGGGAGTCCGCCTGCCGATGCAGGGGACACGGGTTCGTGCCCCGGTCCGAGAGGATCCCGCATGCCGCGGAGCGGCTGGGCCCGTGAGCCATGGCTGCTGAGCCTGCGCGTCCGGAGCCTGTGCTCCGCAACGGCAGAGGCCACAACAGTGAGAGGCCCGCGTACCGCAAAAAAAAAAAAAAAAAAAAAAAAGAGTGGTATATGATATGCTCCCTCTGGAGCAGTGACTGGCCAAGATGGCAGAATAGGAAGACCCTGAGCTCACCTCCTCCCATGGCACATCAAAATGACTATTTACAGAGCAACTATTGATGAGAAAGACCTGAAGACTAGCAGAAAAAAAATTACACCTAGAGGTATAAAGAAGGGACCACAAGGAGATGGGTAGGAGGGGCAGAGTCACGGTAAAGTCAAATTCCATAATTCCAGGTGGGTGACCCACAAACAGGAGAATAATTCCAACTGCAGTGGTTCTCCCCAAGGAGTAAGGGGTCCGAGGCCCATCAGGCTCCCCAGCCCAGGCGTCCTGCATTGGGAAGATGAACCCCCAGAACATTTGGCTTTGAAGGCCAGTGGGGCTTATGTTTTCGGGAGAGCCAAAGGACCATGGAAAGTAGAGAGCCATCCTTAAAGGGTACGCACAAAATCTCACAAGGTCCAGGACCCAGGGCAGAAGTAGTAATTTGAAAGAAGGCTGGGTCAGACCCACCTGCTGATCTTGGAGAGCCTCCCAGGAGGCAGGAGGCAATTGGCGCTCCCCCTGGGGGCATAGATGCCGGCAGCAGCCATTTCGGGGAGCTCATTCTACCACAAGGATACTGGTGCTGGTAAGCGCCCTTTCGGAAGCCTCCCTCTGGTTCATTAGCGCAGGGATCCAGCCTACCCACCAGCCTGTCGGCACCAGTACTGGGACACCTCAAGCCAAGCAGCTAACCAGGCAGGGACACAGCCCTACCCACCAGTAGGCCAACAGCCTTAGGACCCCTGAGAGCCTCCAGCTGGCCCAGGACCCTACCCTGCCCACCAGTGGTCCAACATCAACTCTAGGACCCCCAGGACCCTGCAGCCAGAGGTCCCGGGACCTGGCTCCGTTCACCGGTGGGCCAGCACTAGCCCCAAGACCAGACTCACCTTCCAGTGGTCTTAGTAAGATTTTTTTGGATATGTCTCCTCAGGCAAGGGAAACAAAAGCAAAAATAAACAAACAGGACTAAATCAAGCTGAAAAGATTTTGCACAGTGAAGGAAACTATCAACAAAACGGAAAGGCTGCCTATTGAACGGGAGAAGATATTTGCAAATGATATATCCTATAAGGGGTTCATATCCAAAATATACAAAGAACTCATACAACTCAACATCAAAAACACAAACAACCCCATTAAAAATTGGGCAGAGGATCTGAATAGACGTTTTCCCAAAGAAGACGTACAGATGGCCAACAGGCACATGAAAAGATGCTCAACATCACCAGTCGTCAGGGACATGCAAATCAGAACCACAATAAGGTATCATCTTATGTCTGTCAGAATGCTATTACCAAAAAGACAACAAATAAGTTTTGACGAGGATGTGAAGAAAAGGGAACCCTTATATACTGTTTGTGGGAATGTAAGTTGGTGCAGCCAATATGGAAGACAGTATGGAAATTCCTCAAAATATTAAAAACAGAACTACCATATAAGGCAGCAATCCCACTCCTGGGTGTTTATTCGAAGAAAATTAAAACATT